TTAATAATAACAATAATGATGATAAAAACAATAATTAGTAATAATAATCATGATAATAATATAATATTAATACTTATGATAATAACAATATTGATAACAACAGTAATATAATTCTAATAACAATAACAATAGTAGCAGTTAAAGTGACAACAACACCAATGATGAAAATAATAATGATAGTAAAGATTGTGTTAACGGTAATGGTAACTATAATGATAACGATAATAATTGTAATAAATGATAATGATAAGAATAGTAGTGTATAATATTAATGATGATGATAATAATGGTAACAAAGATGATAATAATATTAGTAATAATGATATAATAATAATGAAGATGATAATAAGGATAATGATAATATGATAATAAGAATGATTCTTGTTAATGATGAAATATTATTGTTATTGCAACAATAATAATAGCATTGGTGATGACAGTAATGATAATGATAATAATGATTATATATTGATAGTGATAACACTGATAATGGTACGATGATAATAATGATAATAATAATAATAATAATGATAATAATGATAATAATAGTAATGATAATAATAATGATAATAATGATAATAATAATAATAACAATAATAATAATAATAATAACAATATTGATAACAATTCTGATAATAATGTTAACGATAATTATAACGCTAAAATAGTAATCGTAATAAAAACAGAAATAATGACAATGTTCATAATAATGATGATAATAGCAATACTAATAACATAATGATATTGATAATGATGATAACTATAGTGACAATGGTAATGGTAAATAAAGATAATATCAATGATGATAATACCGCTAATACTTTTTTAACATAATAACAATGATTATAATACTATTACTGCTATCAATTATTATTATTATTATAATGACAATAATAATAATAATAATAATCATAATAATAATAGTAATAATAATAATAATGATAATGATAATAATAATAATAATAATAATAACAATAATGATGATAATGATGATAATGATAATAATAATAATAATAATAATAATAATAATAATAATAATAATGATAATGATAATAATAATGATAATGATAATAATAATGATAACAATAAAGATAATAACAATAATAAAAATGATAATAATGATAATAATAATAACAATAATATTAATAATAATAATAATAATAATAATAATAATAATAATAATAATAATAATAATAATGCTTTTTATTATCCTTTGCAAAATCTTTCCCCCTTGTTAGCAAGCTTGAGTAGTTGCTGCTTATTACGAGCTTTTTCAGTATACCACACTCGGGTTTTAACAATCTTTCTAATAATAATGATAATTACAAAGATAAAGATTCGTGATACCCGAATTATGTATCATGTTATCCTAGATGTTTACCCAATATAGTTAATAAATACTGATATTTTCAATTATAAAGAATCACTTAATCTGGTACAACTATACTCTTTATCTTAATAAAAGATTACCCAGCTTGGCAAAATTACACTATCCACAGCCGAAAAGGACACCAGTCCACACAAATTGCATGGAGATTAATATTACCCGGATGAATATCCAACTATAGCGTAAGATTCTTGACAGATAGACTCGACCACTTTCTGCGCGTTAAATGATAAGAAAGAGGAATAATAAGAAAAAGAAAGAAAGAAGAAAAATTAAAAAAAGGAAAATAAGAGAATTAGAAGGGATGGATTAAAGGAAATGAAAAGTAGAAGTAAAGAAGAAAAGAAGAAAAAGAGGAAGGGGAAGAAAAGAAAAAGAAAATAAGAAGAAACAAACCAAAACAACAGCAAGAAACGAAAGAGTAGAAAGAAAAAAGCGGAAGAAAATGGCCCGTGGACGACCGGGCGACCAGCTGTGCGGTGAAATCGACGAAGGCTTTCATTATCCTTTCCGATGTATTTTAATACTTCCCTTTTTTATCAATTTTATTAGAGACTATTATTTTGAAAATTTATTTCTGAACCTCTTGTATCAAGATCTTAAATTACGTCCTTTATTTTCCTTTAATCTGTGGCTCAATTTTGATCTCTAATCAACACATGGTAGCGAGCGTTATGCAAGGCACTGATTGATTTTACTCTCCTGAGGCATAAAACCAAGTTTGTATATTATGTATAATAGCAAACAAAACACTTCTGAACTGGTAAAAATATTTTTTATTACCTCCAAATGTACACTTATATAATCCTGCCCAAAATATACCGAAAGCCAATACTTATCTCTGATAAGTATTGGCGACCACAACACGGCAGCCCTCAATTCTGGTTCCGGCCTCTCTGTCTGGATCACAGCCGGATGCCGTTGAAGTCTCCCTGGGCAGTGCCAGCGTCTCGTCGCGGGCAGCTTGTGCCTCGTCAGCCGGAGGAACTCCACTCCCGGAGGCGGAGTCGGCTGGAGGAACTCCACTCCCGGAGGCGGAGTCGGCTGGAGGAACTCCACTCCCGGAGGCGGAGACGGCTGGAGGAACTCCACTCCCGGAGGCGGAGTCGGCTGGAGGAACTCCACTCCCGGAGGCGGAGACGGCTGGAGGAACTCCACTCCCGGAGGCGGAGTCGGCTGGAGGAACTCCACTCCCGGAGGCGGAGTCGGCTGGAGGAACTCCACTCCCGGAGGCGGAGACGGCTGGAGGAACTCCACTCCCGGAGGCGGAGTCGGCTGGAGGAACTCCACTCCCGGAGGCGGAGTCGGCCGGAGGAACTCCACTCCCGGAGGCGGAGTCGGCTGGAGGCGGCCTGGCCTCCGTCCGTCGCTCCGGCCGACCCGTGCAACCAACTGCACGAATCAGAAAACAGAGGAATAAGGAATAAGAGAAAAGTGAAGGGGCAGATAAAGGAGAAGCTTTGATAATAAAGATAAAAGGTGAAGTATAATGAGCAAACGGCATATGAAGGAGAGATAAGGATAATGTAATAAAGGAGAGATCATTGAAAAATACAGATAAGAATAACTAGAATAAAACGAGAGAACCGTGAACAAAAACAGGGATAGAAGGTTCTTGATTAAAAAAAAGGAAAACGATATTCCTGGCATCTCCGGGCAGGGGGCTGCTGTACTACCGTGGCCGCTAAAAAGTTGGACTTTTCTTAAAGCTTTCTTATGGGATTGGAGGGGTTGGCAAATTAGAAAAAAGAGAGAAACGGAGAGTTAGAGAGTTAGAGAACGTGAAAGAAAGAGAGAGAGGGGAGGAGGTGGAGGGGAGGAATGGAGGGAAAAAGAGACTTCTGCAAAAAAATCGCAACAGACAAGCAGCCGGACCCTGGCGCCCAGGGTCCGGCCGGCGGCGGGCGGCGCAGACAGCGTGGCGCCGGAGAAACACTGCGATGTCAGAGGCCGAAATTATTTCGGCCAATTATTTAATATCCTTGAGCACAGATTTCTAGCCTGCCTTTATGACGAAGAGCTTTTTCACATTGGCGATGTGGATGATAGTTTGCAGTGTGGACTTCGATCCAGAGGAGAGGGCGACACACTCCAGTTCCACTCGCGCTTGATCTCTTGTAGCACCACAATTTCCGTGCGCGGATTGCCATAGTTATCTAGGTGTACGTTTTTATTTTCCTTTTTCTTTTTCTTTTTAATTACTGCCTTATGTCATTTTTACCTCTTTTTTTTTTTTTTTTTTTTTAGTACATTTAATTTGTATCTTAAGTCTTAGCTTTATTTTATTGTAGACTTAACTTTTTTCTGCCAAGTCATTTTTTTATTATTGTTTTTTTTTTTTCTAATTCTTTTATTTTGAGTTTTGAATGCTTGTTTTATCGTCTTATACATGTGTCTCATAATATATTTTTTTAAATATTGCTCTGTGTTTTAATTTTGATTTAATAGGTATGAGTATTTTTCTGATTTCGTATCTTTATGGCGTTTTATTTTTATTTTTATGTATACATTTTATCGTCTAATGTTTTTATCATTTATCTTATTTTATTTAGATTTTAAAGTAAATTGTTTTGAGAAATGTTTCGTTTCCTTTGTGACGTCACGAGTCCATGACATCCCGCGACCTATGACAATAAACAGTGTCAACTGGAATTCTGTGTATTTGGATCTACCCTTCCCTCTGCTGAAGCATCACCAAAGGTTGTACGAGTCTGATATGTTACTTGCCTAGTTTCTATTTTCGGTGGACGTATCAGTATAGGCATCGATAAGGCATTAGCTATATACAAGTGTAGCGGGGCGTAGACCAATTAGACTTTATTGTGTCTGGTTGAGTTCGGGCTCAACCGAGAATTTAAAAGAAAATCAGGAAAAGATTCGTCTGCAGTGAACGGATGTAAAGTTCCAGGCCTACGGCACGCTGCCACCACCCGATTAGTAGGTTCGGGAACCGTGTGTTGTGTATGGGGGTGTGACTGTTGTGTAAGAGAAGGGTGGAAGGAAAGTACAGGATGTGTGTGCTGAATGTTGGATGTGTAAGTGTGTAAATGTGAAAAGGGAGATAGCGTAGGCTGAGCGTCTGCGTGGACGTGTATGGAAGAAAAATGCAAGATCGTAAAATTCTTCCTCTTCCCTTCGGTTTGAGCATCCACCTGCTGGAAGTGGGAACCCAGGTGTAGCAAAAGTTATTAAAATATCAGCTTAATATACTCTGATTCATCTAGCCTTTTTACAGCCTTTCAGGGTTGCGAAATAGAGTAACCAGCAACGTGCTGTTTAGGAGACCCGAGCCCAAGAAGTGTTCCAAGCATTCAGCTTAAGTCAGAACCAGAACTTAAGGGTTCACAGAGATCATTTATTTTTCTGACTGGGGCAGAGTGAAAGCTCTATGATGGTATAATATTTATTGAGCAAGTGGCACTCACTAAGGAAGGTCTACAAAACATTCAGTCATGAGAAAGTTTTATAGATGTGTACATCACCAATTTGATCACAGCGGGGGTGATGCACGAGGAAAATAACAGATGTAAAAAAAAAATTACTTACAGATATTTACCCCTAAGTTGGCGTCCCAACTCCATAAGCATTTTTAGACAGAGTATTAGCACACAAAAAATACACTGAACCCTAATTTACATAAGGTAATCTCCAACCCAGAATGAAGATTAACACACAGAAAAAATATATATATATATAGTGCTGAGGAACTCTGAATAAAAACACTTGTATAGATTACGAGTAAAAAGATAAAATAGAATAATACCAAGAGGGCATAAATCACGAAGACTGCCTGAACACCCACAAGGTCAGGCAGGAATCGACCAAGACAAAGTAAAAATGTCGAAGGCAAGCTAAAATGGCCCAGCAAATATTGGCGAGATTGTCTTTCTCCCAGGAGGTACGGATCCTCAAGCTGGAGAGAACAAAACAAATAAAAAGAAAACTAAGTAATAACTTAGTTGGCACACTGGAGGTACGGATCCTCAAGCAGTGTGCTTTCTGTGAAGTGGTTCCTTTTATTTTACAAAGTGCTGCTTTGGGATTTCGTGAGAGAGTGCACCCTGCAGATAATAATGCAGCATGTCACACGCCAAAGTCCAACAGAGACCAGGTGTCTCCTACACACGACCATTAGGAAATACTTAGCTTTGCGAAGACATGAATTCGTCAATCCTGGCACGAAGCGAGGTAAATCCAAAGCGAAGTAAATCCAAAGCGAAGTAAATCCAAAACGAAGTAAATCCAAAGCGAGCACAAACACCGAGAGCGGAACCATTGTTCACTATAGAAGTCAGGGCCGAACTATTTTCCCCTCACAAAACCCTGGGTATTTATGCCCGAAAAAGACCCCCAGGCCATGCCCTAAGCATGGCGCGAAAAGAAGAAGATACGCCAAGTAAGCGGCGGAAGACCAGCCCGATAGTTCGGTAGTCCAAACAACCAGAAAGGACCCGAACAACCATGCCCTAAGCATGGCGCGAAAAGAAGAAGATGCGCCAAGTAAGCGGCGGAAGACCAGCCCGATAGTTCGGTAGTCCAAACAACCAAAAGGGCCCGAACAACCATGAAAAGTGAGGGCGAGAAGAAAACAAACAACCAAAATACGTATCGACCATTACTCTCTCCAGGGGTTATATTGACACTTTGGAAGCGTCGCCGAGGAGATAGAATACGTGAAAAAAATAAATAAAGGAAAAAATACGTAGGGAAAATGATTATGTACAATTTACGTGAAAACTGAGCATTTCGGGCTGTAACTATTCACGTTAGTGAACTTAGAAAATAAATAAATATTTATTTTTCTCGGAGACTTCAACGCTAGCCAAGTAACGAGACTTGGTTAAAAATACGTTCTTGGTGATTTTTATAACCATGTTCATATTTCTTCACAACACTGTCTCTGGCGTCTCGTATAGCACTGGCCACGGTTTATATAGTTGCACTAGAGTCAAGTGGGCGTGGCGCGAATGGCGGGTGAAGCACCAGCCTCGTGCGGGTGAAGCACCAGCCTCGCGCGGGTGCGCAGCGAGTGCGCCCGCATCGTTGGTGGAAGCGTCTCATCCGAGTCAATGGCAGCATCGCAGAGTCCCACGTCCTTTGTTCCATGGTAGAAGAGGCAGGCATGGGGCATGGTAAAGACCCCGCTTCAACCACTCGGTGTCCGATGATGACGTCAGTCCAGGCGAGATCGACCTTAGAGTCGGCGAGTGCGCAGCCGTACACTACAACAAGTAACGTCTCCCAAGAACAACAGTACTCATTGCTACGTTCTTACAAGTCAGCTCTGTTCAGCCTATTCAAGGACTCGATTTCAGTCAGTGCCAAGTTCATTTTACCTTTATTATCTTTCAGTGTCGATTTCAGCGAGTTGTGTATGGTTTTGAACTTTTGCCCATTATTTTACTGTATTTTATTACTTTTGTATGTTCCTTATCTGTGTTCTATCTCTATTTTTACTGCTTTTATTGCTTTTACTTCTTTTAGTCTCTCAGCTGTGATTGAAGTTTTACTACTGTTTAACTACTGCTTATGTGTTATCGTTCTCTAACTCTGCTTTTACTTAACCTTTCTCTTTTACGATTTCAGTTAAGATTTTATTACTGTTTTTAACTACTGCTTACCTGCCATCGTACTTTAGGGTGATTTTATTTCTGCTTTTGCTTTTTTTATGTTTTTACCTAATCTTACCTGTATTCTACCTCGTTAAACTCTCGTACTTTCGCTTACTCTTTCTACTGCCTCTGCTTCTGCTACGATTTCGACTACTATTCTTATCTCCTTGCTTACCACTGTTTGTTTATTCTGTTATATTGCGAAAGCACTGCCCTATCAATAGTATTTGTGGAAGCAGTAGTTAGTCTATTTCCACAGAACCTGGAAGTTTGGTCGCTACTTTTTTCTAGCATTTATTTTCCTCTTTCCTTACGAGGAGTGAACGGGACCCCCTTCATCCCTTCTTACCTGGTCCCTAAGCCTCTCCCGCCGCACAGGAGTGCTCCGGGCTCCTCTTCCGGACACCATCTGGCCTTAAGCCAGGTGTGAACCTTACAATAGTAGTCATGATGAGAGTGCTGCTGTTGATCTGATGACTATGGCGATGATGATGGTAAGGAATATGAAGCGGAGGATGGTGAGGATGAGGACGGCAAAGAGGGTTATTAGGATGAGGATAACAATAATGAAGGCAATAATCATAACGATAATATGGCGCCACCAAAGAAGACGCAACGGTCAGTCATTAAATGCAAGTCACGCTTCAGCATCGCATTTCACGGAAATCATACTTCCTAAAAGCATCTCATCATGCTAATGATTGCGGAATTATTGTCTTTTTTCGTCCAGAAGGAATAACTCGCTCGCTGGTCAATAGATTTTGAAAGTCTGATAAAATCCAAAAGAATTTATAAGCAAAACAATGAAGTTGTTC